TAAACCTGACTCCAGGGAATTCATTTGCATAATTTAAGCATATTTGTTCTTTTCTGAACCCCCACCCCCATCCCACAAAGAAACCCTCTGCTGAGCAACACTAAAACCATTCTTGGAGAGCCTATATTCGGTAGATACAATAATTTAAGTCATCAATGAACTCACCTTCCGACCTGGGGAGAGAGAGCTCTGGATGTGGAGGGAGAACTGGGGCGAGTTTGAATGGAGGGGGGGAACAATGATAAGATATGCTATCGGCAGGGTTTTCCCCCAGCAAACTGGTAAAGAAAGAAGGTGAAGTGTTGGCCAGGCCAGGCAGATTGGGGGATAGGAAGTGAAAGACTGCAGTTATAAAGCGCTGCTTGAGGCGGTCTCTCCTGGAGCCTCTGAACTTGATCAGATGTTCTGCTTCCTACAGAGAGATGGCAGCCTGGCTGTGAGGCTGCCTGGAGGCTCAGACTTTGGGGCTCAGCCCGCTGGGGATGCAACAGTCACAGCCATCTTTCTCTTGGCCTGGCCTTTTCTTTCCACTCTCTTCTGGGTTCTTTGCAAGTGCCTTGCCGACCAAAAACAAGAAAGAGAGAGAGAAAAAAAGAGTGGATTTATAGCCTTGCCTGAACCTGGCCATTATGTCCAAAAAGACCTACACAAGACAGAAAGGGGAGGAGGGTGCAACTGCCACACCACCCTCCTAGAAAGTAAATCCTTAAGGAATAACCAGTCCCCTGGGAGAACTATGAGCTTCTAGGCGTAGGACTAGAAGAGAGCAAAACCTTGGCTGTTCAGAAGAAAGACAATTTTATCCCAAACTCCCCTTTTCCCCCTCCTCCTAACTTTTGCATTTCAAAATGTGAAGAATTCAAAGCTGACTAGCACAGTGATTTTGGAAACCGCGCTGACTTTGTGTGTAGTGTATTTATGTTATGGCAAGTTCAGTGTTTTGTGGGTTTCGTGTGCACGGGCTAAGTGTGTTCTGTGCATGCTTAATATTTGTGGGAATGTTTGCTGCTGTATTTACTGCGTGTCCTGTTGTGTGCCTGTGTATACTGTGTTGTGTGTAGTTTGTTACTGTGCGTAGTTTGTTACTGTGTGTGCTTACTTGTATCTTGTTCATGTTTAGTGTCTTGTGTGTTTCAGGGGACGTGCTTGTATTTACTGTGCTGTGTTCCTGTTTGCTGTGTGCTTGTGTTTATTGTGCTGTACTTATCTGCTAAGTTGTCTGGTGTGTCATGGGGAGGAAGACAGCGTCGAGTACAGTCACTACTCACAAACTAAAGGTGCAACGCTTGACTCGGGCAGAAGTATGGAAGATCGGTTCTAATTGTAACCGTTTCTTCTCTTTTGGGCCTCAATAGCTGCAGGCAGCTGGGGGCACAGACAGCGAGCTCTCCCGGCCTGGGTCCAGGGTCTTGGGGCCATCAGGACTCATGGCCTGTGAGGTGGACGCAGCGGCTGCATAGGGAGCGTGAGACTGCTGCGCTCGCCCTGGGACCTGTGCCCTGCGGCAGCAGAGGGGGCACGTTCTCAAGGTGGTCAGGCGG